TTTCTTGCTAGTCTTCTTCATTTCCTTTTCTTCTATCTCATCTTTCATCTCCTCTCTGTCTTTCCCCTTTTCTTCTCCGTCTCTCATCTTTTCTCTCTTTCCGTCTTTCATCTTATCTCTCTCTCTCTATCTTTATTGATCCCTCTCTCTTCCTTCTTCTCCTCTCTATCTTCTAGGCAGTCCTCACTTCCCAGGCCATTAGCCTCCACTTCTATTTTCTCTCTCTCTCCTTTTCCTCAGTCTTTCAATCGTCCTCTCTTTCCTTTCTCTTTCCTTCGCCACTAACCACCGCCTCCTTCCTCTTTCTATTTTCCTTTCTTCTTCTTGTCATCTCTATCTCTCTTTCCTGATAGACACTTTTTTTTCTTTTCTCCTCCTTTCTATCTCCCTACTTCCTAGGCCACTAACTGCCCCCCCCCTTTCTCTCTCTCTCTCTGTTCGCCCTTTTCCTCCCTCTTTCACATTTTCTGTCTTTCCATTCCATTCCCTTCGCTTTCCTTTTCTTTCTATATATATCCCCTTTCCCTCCGTCTTTTATCCTTTCTCTCTTCCCATTCTCTTTTCTTTCGCCACCAACCGCCACCTCCCATTTCTCCCTCTTTCTTTCCCCTTTTCTTTTTTTTCCTATTCCCTCTTTTCATTCCATTTCCTACGCTTCCCTTTTCTCTCTCTCTCTCTATTTCCCATTTTAATCCGTATATCATCTGTTCTCTCTTTTCCTTCTCTTTCCTCCGCCTAACTTCTCTCTCTCTCTCCATTTCCCCTTTACTTCCGTCTTTACCACTCCCACCTTTTATCTCTTTCCATTTCATTCCCACCGCCTCCCTTCTCTCTCTGTCTCTCTATTCCCCCTCTCCTCCCCTTGGCTTCCCCCGCCACTGACCGCCGCCTCCTCTCCCCTTCAGAAAGTGAACCTGCAGGTGACCGTCGTGGACTACGACCGCATCGGCACGTCAGAGCCCATCGGCCGGTGCGTCCTGGGCATGAACGCCTCGGGCACGGAGCTGCGCCACTGGTCGGACATGCTGGCATCGCCCCGGAGGCCCATCGCCCAGTGGCACACCCTGAAGGACCCCGAGGAGGCCGACGCCATCCTGAACCTCAAGTAAAAGGTCAGCGGGATTCCGAAGGTCCAGGGAAGGCCTCGGCCAGTTCGGAAGGTCTTTGTTGTCCTTTTCTTTTTCAAGTACGCAGTTAAAAAAAAAAAAAAAAAAATAGTTTGAGTGATTCGTTGGTTCAGTTCTTTGTCTTTAAAAAGTTCAAACTAATTTTAAAGTTAGTGAGATTTTTAAAGGGCCGTTGTGATTTAGGCTATTTATATATATTCTTGATATACATGAAATATATTTCAAAATGATGATAAATATACCTTAAGTTATGATGATAAATCACACAGTCATAGATACTTGAAGTAGTCTTCAGTATGCTTAATATGCATGAATGATGAGTTAGTGTGGACAAAACGGACAAAATAATCATAATGGTAGCAATAATAACGAAGATAATAATAACTATAGTGGTTAAAATAAAGTTCCTTTTTCTGGTGCTATCACCTCATTTTCTTCGACTATCACTTCTCATTTTCTGTGGGTATCATGTAAAATTTTCCGTGGCTAACACATCCCAATTTCTGTAACCATCCTATCCCATTTTCTGTTGCATTCAGACTCAGGGAGTCTATCATCCACACATCCCGTTTTCTCTCACACCGTCACCCGTTTTCCTTGTTCCAGGGCAGACTCCTCCATTCCGAAGAGCGCAAGATGACCCTCCAACCTTCCGCCACGATTTCCGAAGCGATGACATGAATCCAAGAAATTACGACCAAAGCGTCTAGTCAGTAGTTGTGCGAACCGTACACGATGCTTCAGATAAACAGGATAACTTCCCTTTCAATCAGTGTTAAAAACAGAGAAACGCAGAATGCCGCTTTTGATATCATCCAGTGAGGATGAGCAGCTCTTCTTCTTTTTGTTGTTGTCTTTTCCTCTTTTTTTATTGCATGAAAACATCACATACATCTGAATAAAATAGGTAGATAGGACTTTCATTCTAACGTGCAGCCGATTTCTTCAAAGCATGAGGTGAGGAAGCATCATTTAGTAAGGTTGGTACGTCAAGATGGCAAGTGGTCATCTTCACAAAGTACAGTGATTCAGGATATATATAATTAATAGTAAGCGGAACATAAATGTATGTGCATATATACATACATTCATATTTATGTGTATACTCACTGGGGTGTGACAATGCAGCTGTTTTGCGATATATCTTAAAAAAAAAAAAAAAAAAAAAATCAGTGTGTCGATTTAACTCCATTCCCTGTGGCAAAACTTGTCCGACTTGTAATGTACAACAAAAAACAAAACGAGGTAAGAAGAATAAAGAAAGAACTCTCACAAAACAAATCAAAGTCTTCAGCAGCTCGTCTATCATCTTCAAGTTGGCCTTGGCTGGGTCTCCACTGGTTCCAAAAGAGGTTGCGCGTGCCCCAAACCTAGGCAAACTTGACGTGGGCACAGCAAACCCAAGACCAACGCACCTGACTTGGGCATCCCAACCTAAAGAGATTAAAAGCGCGAACTGAGATACCTTTTGTTCCAACTGCTGGAAGTAAGAGAGTCCGGAGGGAGGGTCACACAGGCGAGTGGACGGACGACCTCCTCCCAGCGGCCCAAGCGGTGGAACCCGGAGAGCTCCAGCTGAGTTCTTACACACCCTCTGCCTTGCTAGACATACCTGACGGAGGCACACTTACCTATCTCCTTTCCGCACTCCAGAGACTCCCCTCCCCCACTCACATCCTCATATGGTAAGGAGATGAAAGAAAGAAAAAGAGAGTTAAGAGGAAAATACACCGAGACAAGCGGCGCCTTGTCGACACATGATGGGGCCGGTGCTGCTGCGCAAGTCGACTCGCACCTGTTTAAGATTCTGCTCTCCTGGGCGAAGCGTCTTCCCCTCTGAGGCCACACCACCTGCAGGAGGAGGAGTCTCGCCAGCGCGACGTGTTCCTTGGACCCGAGCGAGGCCGTGCGTGCGCAAGGCCCCGCTACCTTTGTGAGGTCATCGTGGGGTCTTTTCTACGGAAGCGGCAAAGCCATTTTGTTAATTAGTGGAGATAGTTGATGTTGTTGTTGTTTATTTTTTTTTTCAGTTTTCACTTTTGAGTAGTCGATTTTCTCCTTGATGCATAAGCCTTTTCTGGCGGTGCATCCTGGCTTCAACCAAAGAATACGATTAAGAAGGGATCTATTAAAAACTGACATAACGGGATAAGGTGGGGCTTTATCGTAGCTAGTTAGTGAGGACGAACTTTGTCTGGTCCAGTCAAAGTTTGCCCCCAAGAATTTGATATTTAAACAAATTTAAACTTATTTCTGGTCTACATTCGCCTTAGGAAAAGGGAACATTATCACTGTAAAATGTTCTATATAGGGTAGATAAAGAGATTTACCCAAACATAGGCAGCAGTACATCTATAATGACTATAATGAATGTATGGACATCATCATGCTAGCGAAGAATAAACAGAATTCAGTCCTCTTTCGTTTGCAAGTTAGCATTTGCAGTAGTGTTTTAGTTAGGCTTTCATAATCTTTGAGTAGAGAGAATCACTCATTCCTTTTATATGTCAGCTATGTTTTGGAGAGTAAATGTTTATATCACGGGACATGTAGCTGTACTGATCTTCACATATATAAATATTAAGCAGTGTCCTATTATATACATTATATACATCAGTGTACAGGTAGGTAAGTCTACTTATACATATTCTTCTTTAGCTCCCGACATAATAGCTATGGCTGAAAGAATATACCTTTTTCATGATTTCTCATGTCTCTCCTGAACTGTTCTGGGACAGCCGTGGATTCCTGGTGCCATATGGAATTATTATTTACATGTTCATTGTTTGAGCCTATTAAGGGTCATACTCCTCTGATAGTGTATGTTTTATCAACCCCCCTCCCCCCTGTGATTCGTTGGGTCATTATTACTACTGTTGAGACTTTGAACTAGTAATTTGATAGGAACTATCGAAAAAAAAATATATAAAATAGTTTGTAAAAAGTGTGAAAATAGCATGGAGTGGGATATCCCCCATCTTTGTATAGTATGAGTCCCGCACACTCCCCTTAGGATACAAGTATTAGGACTTATCAGGCCTTTTTTCATTTTGGATTCCGGTCGTCTAAACTTCTGCCCAAAACTAAAAAACAAGAAAACGTTTATTTGCGATTAGAGAAAAAGCTGAAAATAAATCACAACGGTTACACATGCCACAATTGGCCTAATGCGTCCTGATCACCCACCAACGTCTAGGAGACTGCAAAGACCCGACGGCGTGGATGCCTTTGATTGGTTATATAATATTTGAAATTGTTCATGACATGTCGCGCGGCCATTGGTTCCCTGCAATCTCTCAGTCTTGGGTTGTGGCCCCCTATTGGTCAAGTGTGGGGCCGCCAAGCTCTGTGTTGTTAATATTATGTGCCGATCATTTCATATCAGATGGGGACAGGGTCTGGAAGTGCAAAAAATAATAATAATGATAATAAAAAAAAAAAAAAATACACACAAAAAATTGTTTTAGAAAATACTTTTAAAAATAGAGATAAAAAAGGTCCACATCCATCGCCTCATTTAGCTTCACAGTAGACAAATCCTGCGGTCGAGTTCAGTGCTGGAATCTGTCACATTTTGCCCGCATGGTTTGAGTCTCTCCCCCAAACGGACTAAAACACACAAGTGAATTTCTAAAACGAAGGAAGGACAAAGAAAGTGGGAGAAGACAAGATTATGGAGTAATTATCGTCTCTTTGCCTCCACCCGTGGTCAAAGAAGTAACAGTCATATTCATCACAAAAGGAGAACGTATAGCCTGAATGAAGAGGGCTCGATGAACCTATGTTACCGATTATTTATGATAATTATCATTTAGGATAATCTGTCATCCAAGTACTAAAACACATGAAACAAAGGCTCATGTTGGAGGATGGCATTCGTGTCAAAACATTATCAGGGACTCCATCGAGCTTTCCAACGGGACGCCATCCTTTGACCCGACCCTACGCAACCACCTTCCCCTCTCTGCCCCCGCCCAACCCTTCTTCACCTCATATAGATATATATATATATATATACACACACATCTACTTTTGCTTTGTGTCTTTTTTCTCTTCATCGGTTGTGTCTCTTTGTCTTTCGATCCCCTTCAAGTGCAACAAATAGGAAAGATCCTCTTTGCCAAATTGACCACGCCCCCTTTCTCGATGTTTCAACCAATCCCGTGTCGTTTTGGGCGCGTCGCCTCCCTCTTTACCCTTTTTCCATCTATCACTCTTCGACCATCTCCCTCTCTTCGACCGTTCCTACCAACACGTGCCGTTGTGAAATCATCACTACTCTTTTTGTTTATATTCTTCCTATTCCCACTGTTTCCACTCCTCTGCTAATTTCTCACTCGACTGCAAACGGAGCTAACATTTTCCCCCGTTTCTCTGTCACGCTTTTGACCCCATTTACCCTAGTGAATTCTTGAGCTTCTTTCATGACGTGCCGTCTGTCAAATCGTTGTCTGTTCCCGAGGATGTATTTTCTCCCTCTCTCTCTCCTTTCACTCCATAAAACCTCTTTGTTATTCGCCAACGCTTGGGAGACGAGAAGTAAGCTTGAGGAAACAAAGATCGCCAGTTAGAATGATAAGAATAGTGATAATTAAAAAAAAGCAATGAAAATAATTCTTGATTAGATTTTCCACCATAAATATAAATGAAATTGAGGATACACACGTCCATCAGGCATAATACTTCTTTCCGGGATCAAATCAGGGATCTATATCTTCGCGAACTGACAAAAGAAAGTGTACAAAGGGCATTCGAGTCTCCTATAGTAGCTGCGCTCTTTTTAGAATCATCTATACTATTTATTCGGGGCAGTTACATCACAGGGTTGGATCCTCTCTATGTTCGGGGGGAGATATTTACATCGGATGTTTGTTGAGCTCTTTGCGTAGCCTCTGCGTGATGGAGCATCGTTTATCTTTTATCATACTCTAGACTAGTAGATTTGGCACACTTGAATTCGCTGTAGATATGTATAATTTTCTCTTCTTTATCCCCCCTTCCTCTTCCTCCTTCTCATTCTCCTTCCTTGGAGTGTTTTATTTCATCATCATGTTATATTTTGTCACAGAGCCACCAATGTAAGATAGGTCACGAGATTAGCAATTTTGATCTTTCAAGGCGTACCTTAGGGTCCAAATTCACTAGTCACGTCACAGGATGTACGACCCTATCCCCCCTACGTCTGGTTCGGCCTATACCCGTCTCCCACTCCTTATTAAATAAATAACTAAAAAAAAAAAAATATCCGCTCGATCATTTTCCTCAATCCGGTTCGAGTCCTGGCTTCTACCGTGATTACATATATATAAATATTTCTCCTTTTTATTTTTTGAACGTGCTGATCATAGAGTATTTTGATTAAGTGTTTAGGTGACCCTCTGCGGCAAGTAATGAAAGCGCCTCTCACTGTAGATAACAAACCGTCACAGGTAGAAACGAGAACACTTTTTGCTAGCACTGATTTTGAGCAGAATCCGTGACTCGGCCTGGATTGAGAAGGAGGTTTGTGCGGGGTATGTGTCATGTGAATGGTTGTACGTACAAGTATGTAAATTTTGTGCTCATGTGATGAATGCATCATTATTAATATATTAAAATCATGAAAACGGTCATGAATGCCTCAAACTCATCAGCCTGATCATTTCTTGATTGATAGAGAGAAAAAAAATCAAGAGAAACCAAAAGTAACAACATATACATATATATGCATAAATCGATTATACATAAAAAAAAGTTTCCAAACCGATCCCGTTATTATCATCAAACGTTTCGAGGAAGAATCAGCTGGTAGACTGCGGCATTGATGCGTGTATACAGAAACAGATTCTACATAACAGTTCTGCAAAAAACAACTACCTACAGGGCATTTGCTCGACCGCCAACCGCAGCCGCATCCCATGGATCTCGGAGTCCACCTGTGTGTTGCTCGTAGGTTGGGATCGTCAACAGAAACTTGGATAAAAGTGTTGTTTGTTTAGATATGTTACAGATGGATTAGGCAAGTAAAATGACTTATTACAAAGTCACGAGACCTAACCTGGAATTGTGTAAAAAGATTAGATATAACGAACAATAAAACATATGAAAATAAGAGTGTATGGATTTTCTATCTTTCTCGGTATCCTTTCACACGCCCCCCCCCCCCCCCCCGAAAAAAAAGAGTGAATTACTTTTTTCATATATTAACTAAACACAATTAAAATATTGAATTCTGTTCATGATGGCGATGGCTTGTGCTACCAGTGATTATGATGGAAATAATAATAATGATTTAATGATGATGACAACAGGAATGCTAGTGATGATGTTTTGTAGAAATAATAAGAATAACATCGATCACAAGAATAAGAATAAGATTATTAATCATAATAAC